AAACACGATTGACGAGATGATCCAGCAGAGATTTTGAGTCGCCTTTAAAGTTGTTAACGGTCAGAACTGATAGGTCTTCCCTCATTATGGTGTACAGGGAATTAGGTGGTTTTCCGCTGTCGATAACCTTATCTATATTGTCCACACAGTTGGACCACACTTTGTTAGAATTCTTCGTTAGCATTCGGAACTCATATGCGTTGATGCCCGCGTCTGTACAAGTTACGCAGATACCACGCGGGCAGAAATCGTCTTCTGTCATCTGAAATGAAAAAGAAAAAATGTATTTATTTTTGTTAACACAAGTCAAGGAATGTTTGTTTTCTGTCGATAGTCTTTTAGTTTTTGACAATACCTGGAACAAATCCACAAGTATGCCGTATAAAAAATCTTTAAAAATCAACTGGAGACACCGTGTACTACTTTGTAATGCTTCTTGAGCAATGAAGGTCTTATAAAACTAGCAGAGCATTCCCTACACTTATGGGGCATATCCTCAGTGTTCATATGTCGCCTCTTCATGTGATCCAGACGTCTGGACGTTGACAGGAATCTTTCCCCACATATCTTGCACTCGTAAGGCTTTTCACCTGAATGTATCCTTTGGTGCAAGTTGAAACCGAGCTGTGTTGTCAATTTTGCACCACAGTGACATTTGAAAACTTCCCTTTCAGTCTTGTGTATTACTTCATGGGCCTTATGGTGAGCGAGACTGGTACTTCTCTTGCCACACTTCTGGCATACAAATTGTAATACTTTCAAATGTTTATTCTGAATGTGACTTCTTAGAGAATCCTTTTTTATGTATTTATACCCACAATAATCGCATTCATATAACGAATCTGGCGGTGCTTTGGACCCCTGGCAATGACCAATATGGTATCTGTAACACCTCAAGTTCTCAAAGCTACTATTACAAGATAGACAGTTAAATAGTGTGTGAGCGTACTTATGTGCTCTTAGCGCTCTTTCGTTTACAAAACCTTGTTTGCAAACTGGACACGAGTATGATATCACGCTATGCGCTGTTTGTATATGTAAATCCAATTCCGATGCCTTTTTAAATAATCTGTGACATGTGTCACAGTGAAACAGAAGAATACCATGTGCTCTTTTCAAATGCTGATGCAACCTTTTCTTGTTAATGATTAGACCACAGTGTGTACAAGCTCTATTCGTGGTCATTCTCAGATGAATATTCAATGTGTATAGTAATCGAAATTTCTTGCCACAACTTTTGCATTTCCAGGGAGAACCTTTTGTAAAAGATTTCTGTCGATGACTTTTGGTGAGGATAGGCTCTTGTGTTATTTGATTTAGTCGACTAATAGCATGAGATATAGACGATATACTTTTATTATCTTTAAGTATGGCATCTTTGTTATAAATTAAGAAAAAAGCTTTCTCTTCAGATAGTTGAGGTGGTATAGAATTGAGGATAGACGTGGCTCGTGTCCATTGGTTAGCGGATTCGTGGCAGACATTACGGAAATGCGCCGCCGAGAGCGTCATCTGTGTGCATGAGGAACAGACTCCGCGCGGCAAACTCTTCGCCTCCTCCACCTGAAACCAGGCGATCTGTCAGCCCGCTCCTCTACACCAAGTCTTCTTATGTTTAAAACAAAATTTGTCATGCAATGTGAACGAGCTTTGAGTTTCCTTAATAAATCACATGGGAGATCTTATAAAATTGCGATCAAACCATTTACTTTATTTTACTCCACTCTATTGTAATTAGTATTAGTACATTCATTACAGTAGTAGTTAGATTTAAATTCGTTTATACCAAAAATGTGTGATCATTTTTATTATTCCAAAAAGTTTTACGCCACCTTATTCAACACAAATCAACTATTAAATACTTTTCATTCGATGTTTTTATGTATTTTTATGTAACATGCAATGCTTCAGCATTGTTGAGGAGGTACTGAATTTCTCGTGACACACGTAACATTCAAATTGAACTTGTCTTTCACTGTGACCTAACATATGCTTCTTCAGCATGTAGGGTAGTCGGAACTTTGCTGAACATTTACTACACTCATATTTCAACACTATATCAGAACTCTTATGTACTTTCCTTATGTGTTCCGACCGTCTGGAGGACGCCGAAAAGGACTCCTTACAATATCTACACGGGTACGGCTTTTCACCACTATGCAAACGTAAATGCTGGATATAACCTAATTTAGTCCTTAGAACAATACCACAAAGGTCACATTTGAATGACAAATCTTGATGCTTCTTTACGTGCTCTGACATGTGAGCCGCAGCGAGGAACTTCCCGCAGTAAACGCATGGACTGTGCGTATTCTTCATATGAACTATTTGTATATGAGCTGATATAAACTTTTTGCCCGCAAACTTCTTATTACAATAATCGCAGATACATTCCGTATCGACCCTTCCTCGCAAACCCACTTTTACCTTCTTCTCACTCCATTTATTCTTCACTTCCAACATACCCTTATGACTCTTTATTCTTTCTAAATTACAGCATTTCTTCACGTGGTACAAATAACAAGTTTGGTTACGGAATACCTTATCACAGCTCGGACAAGACTTTTTCGTATGTACTGAGAGATGCGCTCTGAAACTATTGGCAGTCTTGAAACTCCGTCCGCAGTCACCACAAGTGCAAGAACCTTGTGAATGTGCTTGTCGTAAATGCTGAACATATTTATTATACGAAGGCAGTAAAGCAGGACACTTTTTACAGTCATAAGGCTTCTGATTGTGCTGTTCTTTCAAATGTCTCACTAACTCATCTCTATTCATGATTTTCGCACAAATATAACAAGCACGTTTTAAATCTGTCGATTCCTTTAAATGTCGATACAATTGGTGGACATAGCCAAACTGTTTGCCACAATCTGGACATTCATAACGTTGTTTTTGACATGTTTTAACATTCTCAGAGTTTTGTATATTCCTCATCTTTCTTGTTAGTTTATAAGCCGCTGTTTTACTTGAAGAGATACTATCACAATCAGTTAGAAGGACCATCTGGTCTTCTTCTACTAATGCGAATAGTGATCTATCTTTAGCGTGTTGTGGTATGTTGGCCAGCAATTGTACAATAGTCTCCCATTTGTGGGCAGCACGCCTGCAGGCGGTGCGGAAATGGGCTGCGTTTAACGCGGACATGGAGCACAACGAGCATAAGTTGACAGGCAAGTCCTCATCGATCGCCATCTGTAACCACCGAACCCTTATACATCATATTTTCTTTCTAATCCATTCTTTTGTGTATGAAATTGTTAATCATATTGTCAATCTGCATGTACCAAAATCATAATATTAATTGGGAACAAACAATTGTTCTGATGTGTAGTTTCAGTAAAAACCATTGAGTGTTCAGGAATAAGGATGTCTGATGCTCTACTGCCGACATACTTGTAAATGTAGATACTATTAGAAATATAAACCAACAGAACATCTGCTTCCTATTAGTAAAGAATTTATTGATATGTATGGCAATTATTCCACATGGCTCGGTTAATAAAGAAATGCAGCTAAAACCCGCAACAGACTCAGTTCTTACTTACAATTTGACCATTCAGTTAAAAATGAGTATATTTAGGTTTAAAATGTTGATTATTCAGAGACGAATAAGTTTGTAATACATAATATCTTATACATTTATTCTTGTATGAAATTTTTTTTTTATTTATTTCTAAGTTGCAGTATAGTTATTACAAAAACTGTCCAATCTATGGTTTGGTAAAATTATAACATGTTTATATGACTATAAAATATTGTATTAAATGTAATATAATGGTTTAAAAAGGGCACAAATACATTTTGCATTATTCAATTCTAGATAACATATTGCTATGTGATTTGAATAGGATATATGCAATAGTATTTTGGCGGCATAATCACAAACTAGAAAACCTTACAATTCTATGTGTAAAAAAATAGAAGTGTTGATGGATTGATTGAAAGAGGTCAAGCTTTAAGTAAATTCAGACGGCCGATACATTTATGAAAGAGCAGTATATACTTTGCCAACCATACATAGTGATAAGAGATTGGTAATGAGTATTTTGCTGTAGTTTTAATTGTTTTAAATATATTTTGCAGTTTATTATTCTTATTTATTTATTTATTCTAGGTTATTTCTATATATGAAAATAAAATACGTTTTATATTTTTGATTGTGGTTTCGTATTCTGTAGAGTATCTTAAAATCTTAACAAAGTTCTGTATTTAGACTCTTATTTTACCCCACAGGTATTTCGTACAGCAAAATTTGTTTATTGCGTATATTTAAAAAAATCAGGAGTTAGTTTTAAGAGGATTATCCTTAAAGTCAATAATTTGAAGCGATAATTTTTTAATGATAAATGTATTTTCGAGAAAGAAGACCGCCATCTGCCGCCATTTTTTTCTGACAAACAAAACGCCGTTCCGTTTTTCGCAGTTTACAATTACTTTGACACATAATAAAGTTACTAACCTGAACTCCTGTTATTGTCTCCAGCAGCTCCGATAAAGTTACAGGTTGATCCCCGTCCATCAATACTGTATCGCCAAGAAAAACTTGGCCTTCCGAAGTGTCTCCCATACATATTCTACATTTATTTATACCATCTCCTCGCACTACGTGTGAAACTAACGCTTTTATGTCCACTTGGCGACTCATTGTAGACTTATGCTAATAATTATTGGAATAACGCTCCAATTAAGTAACGAATTTGGTTAAATGGTATGTAAGTTAGAGCAAAGTTGTAATCGTAACAATTTTATGCTTATAATTTCAATTTGGACTTGCCACAGAGAATGACAAACTTATGTCAAACGTCTAAATGTGTCAAAGTGTTTGAATGTTTTCAAATTGTTTTGCTTAAAGATTTACCTAGTAATAAATAACATTATTGGGACCTGGCTAACAGTCATATCAATAATTAATGTAAAAATAAAATTAATACTGCTAATTTTGTTTCTAAAATGTTAATTAAACGGAGACAGAAAATGGCGGTTCCGTTTGAAAATTACAATTGTGGAGACCATCGTGATTGATTTGGAAACTAATATTACTTTTTTCGCCTACCATTAAATAAATACAAGGTTCCTATTTACTTAAGTGCCTAACTATTTTAAAATTAACAACAAACTAAATCAATTAAAAAAATAGTAACTTGTCGTTGTCTAGTCACTTGATGTCTTCTAAAAATCTATTTAGTCTGTGACGGTTTGTGTTATGAGAAAAGTAGAAAATATTTAAGATGGTAAATAAATTTTAGATTTTTACATTAATCCGTTGAAATTTAGTGCTTTTCTTTTTAATTAAAATTACTTCAGTTTGTAAATTAGGTATCGCTTATAATATTAATGGGTTAAAGTTAAATTAAATGTCAAAAATACGTTTCGAAAATAAGGTTAAAGATCGAGAAATAATTTGAAAAGTTTAGTGAAAATAAACAGTAGACGTACAATGTATCATAATTATTGTATTGTGGTCGACAAAATATGTGCAATGACAATATTTATAACTTTTTATTACAAATTCTATGTGCGAATCAAAACAATGTCTACCGGCCATCTGATTTTATTTTATGAAATAATGACTTAAGTTACTGCTTTAAATAAAAGAATAACTAACAGGTGATTTTATCTCATGCAAATAATTAAACAGACACAAAATTCCCGCTTAATTCTCCTTTTTTTTTCGTAAAATTTAAACTTATAAACATCTAACCTTTACGATTAAATTATAATTTGTAGTAATAAGAAGTATCAAAACGAATAGAATAAATGTAATTTCTCTCTGAATTAATTACAACTGCACATGTATCTAACTTAGGATAGGCTTGGAGCTCAGCGGAGACTTAAAATTAGCTAATAATGTTGCCAATGATTAAAAACAAACGGATCCAATTACTGAAATGTATATGTGGATTTTGATAGTAGACATGAGGTTAAAAGTTAATAAAACGAATCAAAACATCAAGGTACAATAGGAAATAAGTTATCAACTTTGTATCATTTGTTTCAGCAACCACAGATTCTAGTACTGAAGGAGGGGACGGACCAGTCGCAGGGCAAGCCTCAGCTTATCTCAAATATCAATGCCTGCCAGCTGGTTGTTGATGCGGTAAGCTACACTATTTTATCTAAAATAATAATAGATTGGAAAAAATGTATTTTTGTAGGTAATAAATAAAGTTAGAAACTATAGCAAATTCTATAAAACATTCAGTATAAAAAAGCATGCAATTAACATAAAATAAACAATCAAAATCCACATTGCTTCTGTTATTGTTACCTTTAAATTTTCAAAAACACAAAACACAGTGTAAATAGCAAATTGTGACTGACGATTGTTTACAAGAGAGCCATCAATTTGCACTAATATTCTATAAATTTTCACACAGTAAAATAGCTCTGTAGGGTATTAATTTCTTTATCATCTAACTAGCTGTTGCCATGCGACTTCATCCATATAAAATTTTCATTTTATTGTTCACATTTGTCAAATTATCAATAGCAAATGTCAAAATGACATGACATGGCAATCTTGCTTTCTTGTTGTTGGCAGTAACTTATGGTCTCTTTCCCACTTTATGGTTTTTATCCAAAATATTTACCCCTAAGTTTAACAGCATGAAAATATGTAGCCTAAAGTGTGACATATGTGTAGGGCTTTTTATTAAAAGAAGAGTTATTCGAAAATATGGTGTAATTGCTGACATCTTAGGCAACAAAGTAGTGTATGTTTACGTTTTATTATAATAGTATAGATCAATGAAATATCTTTCCCCAGGTGCGCACTACCCTGGGCCCCCGGGGTATGGACAAGTTGATTGTAGACCACAATGGAAAAGCTGTAATATCCAATGATGGGGCCACTATTATGAAGGTAACATTAAATTTATAAACTATAACATTAATAAATAGCTAGCCTAGAACTCAATTTTTTGTGTGTTAACACAAAGTATCAGTAGATTTTTGCTAATTTACTAATATTTCCTTTAACCATTCCAACTAAGCTATAGGCTTGTGGTAGGATTTGGTTCACAATAGTCGTGCCGGGATTCAAACCTTTGACCACAAGATTGGTAATACATACTCCAAATCATCAGACTATAGTGCTTAAATAGTAAAAAAAATATTATAATGGACAAAAAAATGTACTAATACTTTAGTTTTAAAAAATGCTTGGTTTACAATATGCCAGTAGAGCTGAATAAACACTGACATTATATAAACACTAAGGCGCCAGCGAGTACGTACAGTTTATTCCAGTGCAGCGGTACTGGCTAAATTTAAAAGAGGTATAAGTCCCATCCGTCAAAAGCGACACTTCTCCGTGTTTTGTTGAGTTGAAGAATTAGAATAATTAAATAATGTTATATAACTGATTTTATTTGCCAATGATTAAAACAAACGGATCCAATTACTGATTTGTTTATGTAGATAATTTTATTTTATGAGGCAAATTTTTAGATTTAGGTTGTACCGTAGTAAGTTCAAAATAAGGAAGTGTAAATAAAATTGTCATATAAATTGAATATGACAATATATTGTTAGTTATACAGTTATAGAGATATTAAAATTGTATATTTGACTATTTTTTTAAATATTCCAGTTACTGGATATAGTGCACCCCGCAGCCAAAACCCTCGTAGACATCGCCAAGTCTCAAGACGCTGAGGTGAGTGAATATTAATAATTTTGTACATTTTTTTTTGTAATTTAACTTGTGGGAGGCTTTTACTATTGACGATATTTGCGGGAAGAATAAAACACGGAGTCCAGATTTGTAATGTCTGTATTAACTGTAACTATTTATACAGTTTATTTACTATGTGCTTATTGGCTAAAATATGTACACCAATTAAAAACTAAGTTTATTGACCAATCCGGAAGAGACATTAATAGTTAATTATAATGAGAGTGAGTGAGAGGTGATTTTCTCTGTCACACATTCTTGCGCGTTCCGCACAGAGATAGCGATATGCTGTTTATAACCTCCTATAAATTCAAAGAATTGTAGCTAAACAGTTCAAGTTTGAGACCTGAATTTTATTCATGTAGAAACTAGATTTCGCCTTCGATTCCGTCCGCGTGGAATTAAAAAAAAACAATCGTAGACTAGGTGTTCTTCCAGACAATTTCCAGATGTTCTCTACAACTTTATGCTACAAACTCTAACATCCATCTAAACTTTCGCATTTATAATATTAGTAAGATTGTTACCAATGATTATAAACAAACGGATCCAATTACTGAATTGTATGTGGATTTTGATAGTAGACATGAGGTTTTCTTTGAAATATAACATTGTATTAATTGTTTAATAAATAATATTAATGTTGACTTGTGTGGTTACTCAAGGTTGGTGACGGCACCACATCTGTTGTGATCCTCGCCGGAGAGCTGCTGAAGAGGTTGAAACCTTTTGTTGAAGATGGTAAGAATTTATTTTGCTAAGCTTTTAAATATTTCACAGAATTATGTACTATATAACTGAATTTGTGCTTTTTTAGACAATGAAAGAATACTTGCATGAATAATACTGGCATGTGCAAATTACAGTCATATTAACTGGAATGCAAGTACATGTCTTGTAAATAGATATTAGATTTTACTGGCTTGTATACATTGTACCGGTAGCTGACATGCCAGTTTAAGGTCGTATTCCATGTTTAGTTTTTTTAATTTTTTTACCCTACTATTCCGATGAATCCTAAAAATGTTCTACGAAAATGTCAAAAATTATCCTGTAGTTTGATTTTTATAGCTAGTAAGTAATTTCTATTTATTTACTAGCTTTCGCTTGCGACTCCGCGTGGAATTAAAAAAAAACGAAAATAAGTAGCCTATGTGTTCTTCCAGACTATCATCTACATCTATACCAAATTTTATCGAGACCTGTTTAGTAGTTTAGGCTACAAACTCTAACAAACATCCATCTAAACTTTCACATTTATAATATCAGTAAGACTAGCTGTTCTCGTGCGGCTTCATCCGCAAGGAATTTTGAAAATTCTATTTTATTTTGTCAAATTATCAATAGCAAATGTCAAAATGACATGACATGATGACAACCTTGCTTCCTTGATGTTGGCAGCAAATTATGTTCTCTTTCCCACATTAGGGCTTTTATCCAAAATATTTACCCCCTAAGTTTAATGGAGTGAAAATATATAGTCTAAAGCATGACGTAAGTGTAGGGCTGTTTATTAAAAATTATTCAAAAATATGGTGTAATTGTTGACATCTTAGGCAACAAATAAGTGTGTGTTTACGCTTTATTATAATAGTACAGATTAAATGATTAAAACAAACGGATCCAATTACTGATATCCATGAGGATTGTAATACATATGAGTAGCAACCTCCAATCTACATACATACTTCTCCATACACGTTTACTTATAACGTGTGCCCTACCAGGCGTGCATCCTCGCATCATCATCAAGGCGCTGCGCACGGCGGCACGACTCGCTATTGAGAGGGTCAAGGAGTTGGCTGTGAAGGTGGAATGCCAGTCACCTGAAGAACAAAGGTTTGTAACCATCTTATATCTTACTACTTACTGCATATTGGTCGCGACTACGTTCGTGTGATATTTAAAAAAATAATAAAAAGTATAGCCTACTAGTTTTTGCCTAGACTCTGTCTGCATGGAATTTAAACAAACAAAAGTGAGTAGGATATGTGTTCTTCCAGACTATCCTCTATATATGAAAATTATCAAGATCCGTTGAGCAGTTTAGGTTGCATCTAACAAATATATCTAGACTTTCTCATTTATGATATCAGTAAGATGTTCCTTAAAGAAAGCTTTTTAATGGTGAAAGAAATCTTAAAATGGTCCCAGTAGTTCAATACATAAAAAAATACAAGTCTCCTCTATAATACTAGTAAAGATAAGAACTAATTTTTTGTATATATAGATAAACTAGCTTTTGCCCGCGACTCCGTCCGCGTGGAATTTAAAAAAAATAAAAGTGAGTAGCCTATGTGTTCTTCCAGGCTATCCTCCACATCTATGCTAAATTTTATCAAAATCCGTTCAGCCATTTAGGCTACAAACTCTAACAAACATCCATCCATCTAAATTTTCGTATTTATAATATTAGTAAGATATGAATGCAAATGTTTAGATGTATGGATGTTTCTTACTACTGTATTTAATTTAAAAATTTCCTTAACGATTAAAATATAAAATCAAGTAGTTTTAATATATTTATTGTATATTGCAGGGAACTGCTTCGTAAGTGCGCGTCGACAGCGATGTCTTCCAAGCTGATCCATCAGCAGAAGGACCACTTCTCCAAGATCGTGGTGGATGCTGTACTGGCGCTGGACGCGCCGCTGCTGCCTCTAGACATGATTGGTTAGAATAAGCAATATGCATGACGCCAAATTGTACCAAACTTTATTTAAGTATATTTTATAACTATAAAAACATTACTGCATAGATTTTTTTAAATGTAAAACCAACCTTAAAATAAAAAAAATAATGAATAGAATTATTAATTATGACTTATTTGTACCAGGAATAATAAAAATGAATCGATTATTGACTTTTTGACCTTGACTTTGTTGTTTTTTTACAACGAAGTGACATCTGAGCGTATGTTATGAATGGAATAAGACGATTGACGTCAATTGTCTCATGACAACTGGTCGCGTTTTAGTCGCTGGAAAATGGTCGTAATTTTATTTTATTATTTTTAGCTCAATGGTTGAATATTTTCGAGTCAATTTTTTTTTCTGGTTATTTTATAACAAGTAGAATCGTTTAAAAAAAGAAAATAAACACATGCTTGTTACCAATTGTCCCCTAAATTAGTTTAAGTAAATATACATTTTAGTTAAGTTCAATTGATTATAATCTTTTTTAACGCTTTTTCTATATTTTAGGCATCAAGAAGGTATCAGGTGGTGCG